GGAACCCTTTCACAAAAAAACAAAAAAAAAAAAAAAAAAGAGAAAAAAGCATGCAACCTTTGTTCAAGTATTATACAGGAAAATGTGTACATGTGAAAGCAATGTGCCTTTCTTTTCTTCTCTTCCTTTTCCTCTCTCTCTCTCTCTCTCTCTCTCTCTCTCTCTCTCTCTCACACACACACACACACACACACAAGGTCTCACTCTGAAGCTAAGGCTGGTCTTGAATTCATGGCAGTCCTCCTGCCTCAAACAATAAAATCATATACAAATCGCTATGTCTATGTATATTGCATGGCTCTGTATACTCAGACACATATATACAGAAGCAGTTCGTGTATACAGAAGCAGCACAGGACCATAGGGAAAACACAGAGATGTCTCAGGGGAGGGTGGGAGTGGGTTGTGAGAGAAGGGATGCCCCGCCTCTTTTTTTTGGTTGAGACAAAGTTTCATTCTATAGCCCAGGTTAGCTTGGAACTCATTACATAGCCCAGGCTGGCCTTGAACTCTACCAAGTCCTAGAGTTCCTAGCCTTCCAAGTGCTGGGGTTATGGTCATGCTTGGCATGGGACTCCCACTTTTCTCCTATAATCCTTCAGCACTATATGAATTGTTACAAGTAGTTCAGGCTACCCATTACAAAAATATACATTAAAACCCCATAATTTTGGGGGGAGTGGTACTGGAGAATTGAACCTCAGGGTCTCACATATGCCAAAATCTACCACTGAGTTATATTTCCAGCCTCAGGAGAGTATACTGGATCCCTCAAAGCTGGAGTTACAGGTGTTTACAGGATACCTAGCTTGTTATAAGGGTGCTGGAATCCAAACTCTGGTCATCATGATTAAGCAGTAAGTGTTCTTAACCGCTGAGCAGTCTCTCTATTTTCCTTTCCCATTTTTTGAGACAAGGTCTTGCTATGTAGCTGTGACAGTCCATCTTCACTGTCTACTTGACTGGAACTGGGATCACCTAGAAGACTATCTGTGAGGGCATTTCCAGAGAGGGGTAACCAAGGAGGGAGGACTTACCCTGAATGTGGGCTATACAATCCCATGGGCTGGGATCCTAAGCTGAATAAGAAATAAAAACGGAGCAGGTGAGCTGTGCACCATTGCTCACCTCTTTGCTTCCTATGGACACCTATGAGCAGACCCCTCATGTTCCTGTCACCATGATGGACTGTACGTTCAAACCATGAATTAAAGTAAGCCTTCCCAAGTTGATCCCTGTCAGGCATTTGGTCACAGTGACGAGAAAAGTGATTGATTCAGTAGTCCAGGGTGGTCTAAAACTGTGGCAATCCTATTGTAGCCTCCTGAGTTCTGGGATTACAGTTGTGTGCCACCACCCTGGCTAAGCCCCATAATTTCAACAGTACACAGGTTTCTTGACCCCTGCCTATTTTAAGGTCCCTCGTCACCTTCTTACCCCCCTCCCTGAGAGGCTGCTGGGCTAGCCCTTCTTTACCTGGCTGGTTTGACCTCCTCCATCTCTGACAGTTTCGCTTGAATAAGGCAAAGCCCTGGAAGGGAAGAGGTAATTTTTGAGTTTGGAGGAGGCAAGGGCTTGCTCCCTCAGCCCAGCCTCCTCTACTTACCAAGAGGCAGCAGTGGTAGTAGAGAAAGGCTGTTTATTACTCCAGAGGCTTTGAAATCCGTGCCCCACCCCCACTCTATATCCAGATGGAGACCTGGCCTCCAAGCTAGGACAAGCCAGCACCTGACAAGTGCCCTTGGGCTGTACTCAAGGCTCAGAACTAAAAGGACACATTGAAGAGTGACACGGTGGTAGCTGATAGTACCTGGCCCATCCTGTGTACTCCCTTGCTCAAGACCGGTGCAAAGGGCTTTTGAGGAGGTCCTTGGCTAGAAATAAACTGGGTACAGGTAGAACTCACAGCCAGGCAGATAGGATGGCTTCCTGGGAAACTACAGCTGACCTGTGTCTAGACCTGAGGTCTTACGACTTCAGCCACAGGGTGCCACCACCCTCCTTCCCTTTGGGCAGAGACAAACTAGCTAGACTCCTGAGAGTCAAAGACAGGTATGCACTTGAATGATGGGTAACAGTATAGGCCCTGGACCTAGGCCACTAGGCTTTGAAAAACCTGTTACTTGTTAGTTAAGCTTGTTAGCCAATGGGCAGGTGTGCCCCCTCTGAGCCTTATATCTCATCAGTGAAAAAAGAGATCATTGACTCTCTTTTGACTCTCCAGGAGTCAATGCTGTCAGGCCAGCACATCACTGAGCTGTCAGTGAGCAACAGAGGAGGGTGGTTACTCTCCTGTGCAGGTTTTGAGTCCCTGGGGGGCTGAGACCAGGAGGCTTGTAGTGTGATAGAGATGAGGGTGTCTAGGGTGTAGACCTGGGAAGACGAAGATGAAGCAGGCGGCTAGGCCTCCGATGACCGAGATGACCTTGCCGATGTCAGGGATGAAGAGTGCCAGCAGCAGGGTGAGTAGGAACCACACCAGCGTCTGCAGGACACGGCGTCGACGTTCTCGCCCAACGTCTTCCTCCACTGGCATCCCCTTGTAACGCAGCCATAGGCCTTCCACCACCGCCCTGTCCACACGAGGAGGGGCTCAGGGGGCACTTTGGCTAGTGTCTCCTGCCCCCCACCCCACAAAAATATATGGAAGCCAGATCCCAAATGGGCAAGTTGTGGGTAAGGTCCTTGATATCCACACTGTCCTTTGTTGCTGTGGGTGGAGATGATGAGTGTATACAGAGGACTTTGTCTCTTCACGTGGACACTGACACTATCATTCTCTTTATCTGGAATGGTTTGGTGCTAGAGAGATGGCTCAGTTGTTAAGGGCACTGGCAGAGGACCTGGGTTCAGTTTCCAGCACCCACATGGCAGCTAACAACTGTTTTTAACGCCAGTTCCAGGGAATCCGATGCCCTCTTCTGGTCTCCACAGGTACTGCAAGCACTGGTGCACTTGCATAATGCAGACAAAACACACATAAAATAATTTTTAAAACGTAATTTAAAAAATTAAGGAATAGCTGGGTGTGGTGGCGCACGCCTTTAATCCCAGCACTCGGGAGGCAGAGGCAGGTGGATCTCTGTGAGTTCAAGGCCAGCCTGGTCTACATAGTGAGTCCCAGGCCGGCTGGGGCTACAGAGAGACCCTGTCTTAAAAAGTCCAAAAAAAAAAAAACGTATTTACAGTTTGGGGTATTCAAAAGGCAGTGTCCACATGAAAGCTTAGGAAAGGATCTGGACTGGAGATCCTTACAAGACTCACAGAATATTCTGGAACCTCTAACCTGGCATAGTGTACTTCTAGGGCATTCTAAAGATATGGACTCTTTTCTATGGGCTTCAATTTCTTCAATTCTTCAATTCTTGCAGAATGCATTTCACATAAAGCCACGTGCCATGCTGGCTACCAGGAGCTCTGGGCAGGGTGGGGAAGGGGCTCACCGTCCACAGAAGTGCAGGATGGGGTAGGAGGTAAGCACGCTCAAGATGATGAAGGCTCGGGCAACAGCCACAGCCACGTCCTCTGAGGGATAGGACAGAAGCACATCAGGATCCACAGTAGCTCCAAAAGTCAGGAAGCCACAGATGCCTGTGGGCAGAGACAAGAGGCAAGGTCAAGGCAACCCTGGGAGGGAGGGTGTAGACTGTCCACTCCTGCTAAGTGTAACATCAGCTGGGAAGGTTGCTGCAGCAGCTCAGGAGGTGTGGACGGAACTGAAAAAAGGGAGTCAAGCCAGAACAGATCCTCACTCCCTGTCCTCTCAGGTGTCCCTTGCTAGAAACCCTGTAATTCCCACACTGCTGCTTTTCTGAACTTAGCTTGCCTTGTACTAGTCTCAGAACCTCCATCTGCTCAGATCTTCATACTGCCATCTCATTACTCAGGTCTCAGTTCAGATTCCCCTCTTGAGAGAGTGCTGCTCTGCCCATCCACAGTCACCGCCCTAGCCCAGGGACTCGTTTACCACCCTGTTCAAATTTTCTTGTCAAAAAGGACTTGGTCTGTTGGCCTCTTGCATTCCTGGCTGTCATTTCAGAGGCTGGAATGGCACTGGCCCAAGTAGCTTTTGCCCCTATCCCGTCAACTAGCCATAAGAGGACGATAAGGCCACCCAGCTGTGCCCCCTTACCCAAGTTACCCATGCAGCAGCCCGAGCTTTCTTTGCCCAACCACTTCCCACCCATGAAATGCATCCCAATACCATACATCTCCCTCCCCACTGGCACCTGCCTCCAACTCCCTGAACTCCAGGTCACAGACCTCCTTCCTATCCTTACCCTAGAGGCTTGGCATTTGGCAGTTTCTCTCTGGAATGCTTCTCCTCATTCAACTTCTCATAGTCTGGTCTCTTCAAGTGCCATCTTCTCAAGAGAGGACCCTTCTGTGAGGGCCACCTTGACCCAGTCCCATTCCCTCCTTCCTGGTTTCAGTGTTATGACGACATTAGCTCCTGTCTAGACTTCATTTTTCACTTACTTGCACATGACAGTGTCTCCAAGAAGGTCAATACCACAAGGGCAGGGCCAGCTCCTACTCCCATAGCATCCCACACTGGGGACATCTTCTGATACTTTCTGATGATACTCACTGGGCATCAGTTTAGAACTGATGAGTAGAGAGCTAGAGAGATGGCTCAATGGTTAAGAGCACTGGTTGCTCTTGCAGAGGACCCAGGTTCAGTTCCCAGCACCCACATGGCATCTAACAACCGTCTGTAACTCCAGTTCCAGGGAGTCTGATGCCCTTTTCTCCTTCCATGGGCATTGCAAGCACATGGCACACTTACATACATGCAGGTAAAACATTCATACACATAAAATTAAAAAGAAAAAAAACTTTATGGGCGTGGTGGTGCACGCCTATAGTCCCAGCACTTGGGAAGCAGAGGCAGGTGGATCTCTGTGAGTTCAAGGCCAGCCTGGTCTACGTAGTGAGTTCTAGATGGAGCACACCTCTCTCATCTTGGCAGGGGGCAAGCCTTGGGCAGCCCAAGTTCAAGTCAATGTTTATATAAGTGTTCATTAGCCCAAGAGTGCAGAGCTGTCCAAAGACAGCTGGGCCAGAAATCATGGGGACTCAGGAAGGAGTGGGAGCACTCTAAGCCTGGCCTTTGAAGGGGAGCACTCACCTGTGCCCATGTAGACAGCCAGGGCTATGACCATGGCGGCTGTCACCACCCCGCCCCAGGTCTTCACCTCAGACTGCCGCATGCTGTTGAAGACGGGCACGCTGCTCACGTGGCACTGTCCAAGTGAAAGGCATGGTCATGGTGGAGAAGTGACCTCACCCCCAGGCTCCAAAGTGAGGTAGCTTGGGGGCAAAGACCCCAGAGATAAGGGGTAAGTTCTGGGGCCTGTGTTTTATCCTTCCTCCCAGGAACCCCATCATCCTACCTCTAATATAGGGTCCCTCCCAGTGTGTGGTGGGGGTGAGCTAATGGGACAGCAGGGACCTAGTATCTGGCACCTGAAATCCGAAGCAGATGGTGGGCATGGCATTGAACACGGCCATCCAGGAAGCTGGTCTGTGGGGAGAAACAATGTACACCTGCCTGTGAATCCCACAGAGCCATCAACTGTCCCCACAGCTCTTCTTCATTCACCCCAGCATGGCCTCCAGCAACCAGCACTCTAGACAAGAACATACACTGGGAGAGGAGACATGGCCGTGTCACAGTTCAGGAAATGGGTTCTGAAAGGCCATCTGGCACCAGAATCTATAATTCCTGGCTCCTGAAGCTTTTCTGATTTGTTCCTTTAATAAACTAAAAGGGGCTGGGTATAGTGGCGCATGCCTTTAATCCCAGCACTAGGGAGACAGAGACAGGTGGATGTTTGTGAGTTTGAGGCCAGCCTGGTTTACATAGGTAGTTCTAGGACAGCTGGGGCTACAGGGAGACCCTGTCTCAAAAAGACAAAAACAAAGACAAAAAAAACCCAAAAAACCAACAACAAAAAAAACTAAAAGGGAGAATTTGGACATGGTCATGCACATATGTAATCCTAGCACTTAGGAGGTGGAGGCAGGAGGATCACGAATTCAAACCTAGGTTACATAGTGAGTTTGAGGCCAACCTGGGCTATATGACATCCAGTCTCAAAACAAAATAAAAATAAATGGAAAAATGTGCAGTTCATTCCTCACAATCTCCCTAAGCTGGGGCCTTGCCCAACACTCCTCCCTCTGGCTATCACTCTTCCCTCCAGGTAAAAAGAGACTAGGACCTCTCACCGCCTTCCTACAATGATGGGTGAATCAGACTGATGAGCTAATGGGCCTCAGGAGGGCCTGTGTGGGCTTCAGATGCCTGACCTAGGCAGGAGCTTCTACTCCATGCATTTCCCAGGGACTCTTACCTACCTGGTCAGGATATCCCCCGGGACCATCTCTTTATCGGGCCAGATGTATTTGATGATTATGATGGCAGTGACATACCAGGTTCCCACAACACTCAGGAAGCTGCCAAGAAGGAGAGACTGACCTGCTCACCAGTTCCAGCTGTCCCTTGTCCAATGCCACCCTAGGAATGCCTACCCTCTGCTCTAGGGACCAAACCATACCCAGTGAAGACTCAGGAGAAATAAGTTCCAGAGAGACCTGCCCCAGGAACGTGGAGCTCGTCAGTATTTCAGCCATTGGGACATGCACTGTTTCCAGTCTATGGCTTAGAAAACACAAGGAACTGGGCTCCAAAGAGCAGCTGCAAGCTTAGCCTGAGCAGCCTGGACTTGCTAAGGGCTGCCAGCTGGCAGTCCCATGGACCTGGTCTTTGAGAACTAGGAGATGCTGAGGATGAAGGGGTAGAGTAAAGATGCTGGGATGCTGATATTTAAGGGAACTCTGAAGACAGCTGAGTGTCAAACAGCCCAGACTCTTACAGCTTTTCAGATACTGGGCCAGGAAGCCACTCTGAGCTCCATGGAAGATGCTACCAGTTGGACAATCCCAGGATCACCAACCCTGGGCTTCCAGAAAAGTCAAGGCCCAGGCCACCAGCTGCCCTTACACTCTCAGCCATCACCAATCCCTTCTTTGACAAGGACATCTAGAACAGAACCCTTCATTGAACAAAGGATCACTGTCTTTCTTTTCTGATGATAACAGAAAAGGAAGGTTGAGGACTAAAATCCTGCAAACTCTGGTCTGCTCTGCCTTGCCAGTTCTTTTTCCCCAAGAAACTGAGGTGCCATGGAGATTGACTCCCCACCAGAAATGGCTCTCCAGTGGCCTGTGACCAGAGCCTCTGGCTGGCCCAGGTTGGGTTGGGGACTACAAACCTGGCATATTTCTGGAAGCCGATCTCCCTGGGGATGGACAGGGGCAGGATGAAGAGGAAGGCAGTGAGGCTGATGGTGAACTTGCGGTCTGTGTACCAAGGGCCACTGCTGGCCCCTTCAGGCTCCTTTGCCATCACAGCTATAACTGCACAGGGAGGAAGGAGAGACTGTCATAACAGGCCACCCAGGGTGTGGCTCTCCTGCTCTGCTGGGTCCTAGGACTTTCTTCTAATGGGCCAGAAGCAGCAGGACTTGCAGAGAGGATGAGGCCCAGCAGGTGTACTGTATTTGTTCCCTGGACCCCTGGCCCAAGGGGAAGAGATAAGGTAGCACTGGGGGAGAACCTCACTCTTGTCCTGCTGGTCCCCGATGATGATGAGGAAGGCAATGCAGGTGCCGAAGGTGTAGACTGCGATGGCCACCTCACACAGCACGCCTGTCAGCTTGCCGCACACGGCCCACACCACCTCCTGGTAGGTCCTTTCATTGCTGGCCTGGGAGCAGTAGGCCAGAATGACAAGACCGCTGATGATGAAAACCAGCATGCCCTGTAGGCAGAACAGACGGGAAGATGTGGGAAAGGCATCCTGGGCACTCTCAGCACTTACTGGGCCAACATCCAAAGCAGCTTGGAAAATGGGCCCTTATCCTGCAGGACAATTTTAATAGATTGCTAGAGGTTGCCAAGTTGAGATTTTACTAAAAACAAGTTTCATTTAAAACGTCAAACATGCGTATGTATTGAAAACAGAGTGGACCCCAAGCAGCCATCATTCTCCACTTTAAAATCAACCAATTTATGACCAATCTTTTGGACTTTTGCTTTTCCTTTTTTTTTTTTGAGATAGGGTCTCTCTATGTAGCCCTGACTGCTCTGGAACTCAGTATGTAGACCTGGCTGACCTTGAACTTACAGACACTGGCCTGTCTCTGCCTCCTGAAGGCTGAGATAAAAGGTGTGTGCCACCAAGCCTGGCTCTTTGTTTTGTTCTTTTGAGACAGTTTTACTCTGTAACCCAGGCTGTCCTGTAACTTATCATACAGTCTAAGCTGGCCTTGATTCCTCTGCCTTAGCCTCTTGAGTGCTGATTACAGGCATGCACCACCACAGTGACTTTTATGGCAAATCTTTTTTTCATTTTACTACCTTTTCATTGTACTTTGAAACGAATACAAATATAGTTTTTAAAATATTATTTGCCACGTGTGGTGGTACATGCCTTTAATCCTAGCCTCAAGAGGCAGAGGCAGGCAGATCTCTGTGAGATTGAGGCCAGCCTGGTCTATATAGCGAGTTCCAGGCCAGTTGGGGCTACAAGGAGACCCTGTCCCAAAAAAAGGGGGGGCGGGGCTTGGAGAGATGGCTCAGTGGTTAAGAGCACTGGCTGCTCTTGCAGAGGACCTGGGTTTGGTTCCCAGTATCCACATGGCTGCTAACTCCACGTCCAGGGGATCTGACACCCTCTTCTGACCTCCGTAGGCATTGCACAACACAGGTGCACTAACATCCATACAGATAATAAACTCATACACAGAAACTAAAAATAAATTTTAAAAATTTAATTAATTAATTAATTTATAGTTTATGTGTATGAGTGTTTTACCTGCAAGTATGTTAAGTGCAGCCGGGCGTGGGTGGTGCACACCTTTAATCCCAGCATTTGGGAGGCAGAGGCAGGTGGATCTTTGTGAGTTTGAGGCCAGCCTGGTCTACATAGTGAGTTCTAGGACAGCTGGGGCTACAGGGAGACCTGTCTCAAAAAGAAAAAAAAAAAAAAAAAAAAAAAAAAAAAAAGAAAGCAAAGCAAGTATGTAAGTGCATCATGTTTATGCAATGCTCATCAAGGACAGAAGAGTGCACCAGATACCCAAGAACTGGTGTTAAGGACAGTTGTTAGCTGCCATGTGGGTGCTGGGAACCAAACCCAGGACTTCTGCAAGAGCAGTCAGTGCTCTTAACTGCTGCCTTCTCTCTAGCCCTTAAACATATCTTTTATTGCATCAGTAAACATTTCAGTAGTTCTAAAAAAATAAGGACCTTCTTTCCTTTAAACATAATCTCGGGGCTGGAGAGATGGCTCAGCGGTTAAGAACACTGTTCTTGAAGAAGACCTGGGTTTGAATCCTCCATAACGCCAGTCCCAGGGGATCCAATAGCCTCTTCTGACTGCTGCAGGCATTGCACGACACAGGTGTACTTACTTACATGCAGGCAATACACGCATACACATAAAATTTAAAAAAATTAAAAAACAAAAAACATACATAAATCAGTATCACACATAAAAAATAAAATATGCCTGGGTCGAGTTGGGGAAGTGGAGTGGCTCAGTTGGTGGAGTGCTTGTCTAACATGCAATCCTGGGTTTGATAACAAGCATTGCATAAACTAGGTGTGCTGGCACACATCTGTAATTCCGGCACTCAGGATGTGGAAGCCGGAGGGTCAAGGTCATCCTCAGCTATGTGGAGAATTTGAGGTCAGCTTGAGCAAGCGATGTTCAAATCTCTCTGTTGGGAAGGGTTTTGAAATCTCACCTGGGCTCAGGGTGAAGCGTTCTGGAGAAGACACAACTGGCGTCTGATTTAGACTCTCTTTTCCTTCTTCCACTTCCCTTTTTTCTTTCTTTTCACATTCTTATTATTATATAAGCTTTTGTGTGTTTGTCTTTTTGAGATAGGGTCTCTCTGTAGCCCCAGCTGGCTTTGAGGTCACTATGAGACCAGGATGACCTGGAACTCACTATGTAGAACAGGCTGGCCTTGATCTCACACGTAGATCTGCCTGCCTTTATCTCCTGAGTGCCGGGACTAAAGGTGTGTGCTTGGCTTCTTGTATTGATTTTGAATGGTTGCTTTAAAAGAGAGTTCTGGAATAGACTTAATATCTATCACGGGTAAGGGAGGGAATAATGACAGCATATGTTCCCTATTGCCCATCTCCTATCCAGCCTCCCTTGCAAAGCAAAGAGCCCAGACTCTGCATACCTCTCCTGCCAGCGTACTCACCATTTGCAGCGCGATGCCAGCAGCCACACCCCCAGCAGTGCTGAAGGCTGCTGGGAAGTTAAGCAGCCCTGCACCTAGGCAGGCATTGACAACGATGCAGATGGCTCCAAGCGTAGAAGTAGTACCTCTATCTGAATCTCCAGGAGACACTGCCCCCTCACTCTTGGGGGCCATGTCCACACAGGGACTTTGGAGCAAACGGGCCCTCTCCCCTGCATCGGTGCTGGAGCCCCACTCACTATAGTCACTGTTGATGCAGACCTGAGCCATGGTTCTGAGATTTTTCTTTCTCCAAAAGCTAGGGTTCTGCCTCACGACCACATTCCTGTTGTAGATGAGAAAACCCCTGTCGATTCTGGGCTGTTATCCTGTGAGGACTCTTGTTAACCTGGATGGGACAAAGGCAAGCATTATTTTTGCCTCGAACCAGGGAGTCTGGGGCACAAAAAGGGGAAGCAGCTGTCCCAAGATCACATGGTTAGGGTCCATATAAGTACCACATGCGGGCCTGGAGAGACGACTCAGCAGTTAAGAGCACTGGCTGCTCTTGCAGAGGACCCAAGAGAGGGGACTGCATGACATGGGTGCACTTACATACATGTAGGCAATACACACGTACACATGAAATCAATTTTATTGCCTGTAGAGGTCAGAAGAGGGTGTTGGAGTCCCTGGAACTGGAGTTATGGACAGTTGTTAGCTGCCATGTGGGTGCTGGGAATTGAACCAGGTCCTCTGCAAGAACACTCAGTGCTCTTAACCACCGAGCCATCTCTCCAGCCCCTAAATAAAATATTAAAAAAAAAAAAGTACCAACTGTGTTCAGCTACACAGGTGGAGCTCCATGTGGTAAAATTCAAATCCAGGTACGTCTATGCAGAACACTGCAGTGGTGATATGGTGCGGGTGGCAGACAGAAATATGTCAGTTTCACATCCCACTTGCATCACTCTTTTGCACCAAGGCATATAACTGTGTTATAGCACTTGTCTGTCACTGGTAAGGCCCTGGATTCAGTCCACAGTACTTTTTTTTTTTTTGAAATGGTCTCACTCTGTAGTGCTGGCTGACCTGGAACTCATATAGTGAACCAGGCTGGCCTTAAACTCAGAGATCTGCCCACCACACCTGGCTTAATCCTTAGTGTTGCAAAAGGAATAAGAACAATAAAAGGGAGGGATTCTGATGTCTCAGCACCAAGAGAGGGGCCCCCAGTGGACAGGTGTGTCATGAACATGTCACATGCCTTATCTTATTTGATCCTGTGACAGCCTTGTTGTAAGAAGGTTCAGAGAAATTACAACACTGACCCAGGATGGCCCATGAATGAGCTGCAGCCCAGGGTCTGGCCCCAGACCCTTCTGGTTTCCCAGCTTGTCTGCACAGCACAGGATCCCAAAAGGAACTCCTACTAAGGATGTTTTGACATATTACAGTCCAGCAAGCCTACCTGTAACCTAGACATTAAACTTCAGCTTTCAAAACCCTTCAAAATTCAGGCCCATTCTTTCTTCTCCTATATGATCAGTCCCACCACACAACTCACACTTGTGTCCTCAGGAAAATAATATTTTATTTATTTTATGTGTATGTGTGCAAGGGTGCATATGCATGTAGGGCAGAAGACAATTTTGGCGAGTCAGTTCTCTCCTTCCACCATGTGAGACCTGGGGATCAAACTCAGGTCATTCAGCTTGACAACAGATGCCTTTATCAACTGAGCTATCACTCCTGGTCAGGAAAATAAGCCTTAACTATGTCTGGAATGCTCCCAGTCCAGCCAGCCAGACTCTCAGGTCCCATCTCTTCTCCATTTCCTTAGATACTCCTTGAGTCCTTTTCAGAGTCACCTATGCACCAGGCACTGCTCGGGCCCATTTCCTTGCAGTTTCTGCCCCTGAGCTAGCATTGTGTAGGCTACAGGCTTGTTCTCCACAGCTAGACTACAAGGCTCCAAGGACAGACATGTGGTGTTTATTGTTAACTATGAGCCAGAGCTGAGGAATGTATTGTGTCATTCACTCTTCAACACAGTCCTAAAAAGTAGACAGGAATGTCACTACCACCATCACAGAGGTATTCCTGATGGTCAGGCACTGTACACTCTACTCTGGGTCAGATAGCAGTCACTGGTGGAGCTGGGATTCAAAACCAGGCTGAGATGGGTCAGAAGGTAAAGGAGCTGTCACCAAGCCTTGAAGAGCTGAGTCTGATTCCAGGGACTCCTGCAAGTTGTCCTCTGACTATACACTCACACAAACACAATGAATGAATGAATAAAATGTAAAACAACAACAAAACCCCAAATAAAACAAAATAAAGTCCAAACAACAACACAAAACCTGTGGGTATTGGCTTGTCTCCACCTACTCCTCCTGGGCATGCTGAACTCAGGTGACAAGCTTGTCACCTGACTATTCTCCAGGTAAACACAACTGAATTTCAGATTTTAAACTAGCTTTGGCTTTCTTGAAAACCAGATTTATTCTTCTCCAATCTTCCAAATATTTTTTTGAAAGAGAAAAAGAAAGAGAGAGGGGGAGAGAAAAAGAGAGAGCACCTTGGCCGGCCTGGAACTAATTATTTAAACCAGGCAGATTGGCCTCAAACTCAGAGAGATCTGCCTGCCCTGCCTCATGGGTTCTGGGAGTAAAGATGTGGTTCACCATGTGACATTCTACAAATCTTGAAGTGCTTTGAGAGCTCAGCTCTGAAAACTGACCTCAGAGCTCAGAGCTTGAGATCAAGAGAAACGTTTCTTTCCTTTTAAAAACAACTATCTGGGGCTGGAGAGATGGCTCAGCAGTTAGGAATACTTGTTCTTCCAGAGGACCTGGATTTGATTCCCAGCATCCATATCACGGCTAACAAGCATCTGTAACTCCAGTTCCAGGGGATCCGACACACTCTTCTGGCCTCTGTGGGGCATTGCATTCATGTGGTACACTTACATACATGCAGAAAAAACACTCACACACATAAAAATAACTTTTTAATTTTATGTATGTAAGTGTTTAGCCCATAAGTATATGTGTACCATGTGCATGCAGTGCCAGTGGGGTCTTGAAGAGGGCATCAGATCCCCTGGATCTGGAGTTATGGATGGTTGTTAGCTATCATGTAGGTGTTGGAAACTGAACCTGGGTCCTCTGGAAAAACAGTCAGTGCTCTTCACTCCTGAGCTATCTCTTCAGAACTAAGAAAAAAAATCTTAATATACCAAGTCCAAGCCCAGATCAAGAACACCCACACTAAGCATGGTGGCTCATGCCTGTAATCTCAGCACTTGGGAGGCTGAGGCAAGATGACTGTTGTGAATTCAAGACCAGCCTGGGCTACATAGTACTGAGCTACAAAGCATAACTCTATCTTGAAAAACAAAACAAAACAAAAAACTAATAAAGCATCCCTGAGCTGGAAGGGTCTGTGCTCTCCTCATAGATCTGAAGTATGAAAACTGACCTCTCCTCCTCCTGTGTAACCTTGGGCAAGTCACTTTATCCCTCTAAGGCGTATGTTAATATTACTAAAAGTTACTGGGCTGGGGTTGGTAAAGTGTGTGCTTACCATAAAAGAGGCTTCAGAGTTAATTCCTAACAAACCCATTTTGGGTCCAGTAAGATGACTCAGTGGGTAAAAATGCTTGCAGCCACGGCTGAAAACCTGAGTTCCATCTCTGGGCCCCATATGAGGAGAGAAAGGATTCCTGCAAGTTGTCCTCTGACTTCCACATGTGTGCTGTGGCATATGTGTACACACACACACACACACACACACACACACACACAAATAAGAAAATAAATTAAAAATAACAAACAACACTGATTTCCTTTCCCCAAAGGTCATTGCTTGTGTTGTTTGCAAATGCCCCTCCTGTTTTACCCACCTCTACCACACCAAACAATCTTTGTCTCTAAGTAAACAGAGAGCAATGGTCCTGGTAACACTGGTCACAAAGATACTGGGGTAGCTAATTGGAGAAAAAGCAAAACAATGGCCAGATCAAAAGGGCATGGATTGACCTGGGGACTTAGCTCAGTCGCTGAAGGAGTATTTAGGGTAATGAGTCCCTGGGTTCAATTATAGCCCTCTCCTTCCAAAATCCCAAAGGGCAGGGGCTGAGTGGATAGTGAGGAGCCAAGAGGGGCCTTCCTCAGAGGCTGCCTTTGGCTGCCAGGCTCTTTTCTACAGTCTGTTGCTTCTTGAGTATCATCTGATCTCAGGTATTCCTGAACTGCCTCATTCCATTCTCCACTTGTCCTTCTCTGCGTGGCTCATTACAGACTGGAAAGAAGAGATGAGAACTGACCACATTCAGTCATAACCACTGTTATGCATCCATAGCATCTCTCTGATGCCCTCAGTCCTGGAGGTCGGCTACCCAGGTCCCTGGGATGCTTCCTGGCCAGTCCTCCTGACAAATGGACAAAGAAAGCTGGGGACATCACTCCATGGAGAGGGAAAGAGGAACGTGCAGGTGCTCTGGGACATCTGTCAATCAAGCATATAACCAAGGGACACACTGCCAGTGGACACATCCCTCTTCTGGAGTCAGATTCAGAAAGAGCACACATCACAGAACTTTTTCCTCTTACGCAATGTGCCCTCCAGCCAACAACTCAGCAAAGACCCAAAGCTGTGAGTAGTGAAGGCAGTCTGGGAATTCCAGAGACATCTAAGGCCACAGGTTCCACCCAACTCACACCACAGACACAGACACCAAGGCCGCATGGCCCAGTGCCTCTCTCACAAAGCAGGTTTCCTTTTGGGGCAATTATCCCATGCCACTGTCTCTCCTGCCACCACACAAAAGCTCAGGTAGGGTCCTCACGAGCTCAGGGGCTGAGTTGTTCTACTTTTCTACACTCTCACAGCTCCAAGATCTCTTACCCCTGCCCCAATAATCAGCTCCACTGCTCCCACCTTACCTGCTCTTTCCACCTGCTTGGCTATGGTGGAAGGGGCTGTTCTTCTCCCCGCAGATCTGGGATCGGATTCTCCTCTCGTCACTCTCTAGCCTCCAGCTCTTAAGACATTACCTAAAATCTGCAGTCAGCAAAGAGCTGACTTCCGGCTAGCTACACCTGGGCGGGGCGGGGGGGGGGATACTGCGAGGTTCTCATAGTATGGAGTTCCAGATCAGGGAGGGGAAAGGCCCACGGAAGGAAAGGGATGAGGCTAAGTCACAGCCCGATGCACACGTGCTTGGGTCGGCGATGGACCCAGTGCACCCGGCCCCTCAGATCTCACCGGCTTCCCAGTCTAGCCTGGGGCCCAGCCCTGAAATACGAGGTTTGGGTTGCACTAGGAGGTGGGTGGGGGAGCACCACGCCGAGTGGGCTGAGGACCAGCCTAAGGGCTGGGGCAAGCCCCGGGGACTGCGTGTGGGAGGGGATCCGGGGACTCGGTCCTGGCCTAGGGCAGAGTGGAAGCCGCCGGGCTAAGGCGCGCCGGGCCGTGCAACAAAGGGCAGCGTGAGAGACGATGGCTCCGGAGCCCTGCAGGGAACTGGGCTCAGCGCCACGGCGGGGGGCGATGGGAACTCCGTGGACCCCGGGACCTGACAGCCCCACCTTCTGCCGCCAGGACCTCCCACCACCTACCTAGGACGCTACTTTACCAAGCCGGCTCCAGAGACACGTGAGTACGGGTCACATGACCTCCCAGTGGGCAGGGGCCGTGGGTCACCCTGGGACTTGTAGTTTTTAGCAGATGTCAACATCGGCCAGCACCAGCTCCTTGTATCTCAACCCCACAACACTGTCCTGAGCCAGCTTGGCTCCCAGCCAACTCATTTATCCAGCTATTTTTAGACCTGGTCTCTCGGCCAAATCAAACACTGCTCCTTCTTCCTGGGAAGAATGTTAAGAGGTTTGGCATCTGTGTCTTCAGGGGCAATGAGCCAAAGCTATTTGGCCTCATTATCTTTACTGGTTTCTGTTCCTGCATTCATGCCGATGACAAGTGACCCTGGAGTTTCTTTTAGTGGAATGTGCGGGAACCATTGAACAAGACGGAGAATTAGCCTGAGCATTCATCTAGCCCTGGCTACAACCCCGGGACTAGATTCTAAAAGGACTTGCGGCATTGGAGGCCCTCGGTGTATTGAAAAAAGGGGTAGCTGCCCAGAGCCTTGGCTTCTGTTCTTGGCTGTATGCCATTTATAACTTGTCAGTTTCTTTCTCTTTCTTTGTTGTACTAGCGCTTGACTTCCACCTGAGTTCTGAGGGCCGAACTCAGGTTATCATTGTTGGCGGCAAACACCTTCACCCACCGAACTATCTTGCTAGCCAATTTTAAAAATTGAAAATTAAGTTGAGTACGCTCAGAAGGCTGACACAGCTGGGTGTGGTGGCACATGCTTTTAGGGAGGCAAAGGCAGAGGCAGGTGAATCTCTGTGAATCTAGGCCAACCTGGTTCCAGACCAGCAAGAAGATAAAAAAAGGAAGGCTGATGCAGGAGAACTGAGTTTGAAGCCAACTCTACATAGCAAGACCTTGTCTCCAAACAAACACAATAACCCAATAACCCAAACTTTAAAAAAATAAAGAGGAAAAAAAAGGCAATGTTATTGAGATTGTTAGAGTCAAATGCACTTGTAAGAAATAGATCCAGTATGTCAGTTTCCCTCCACAAAAATGTGTTACAAAACTGTATTATATTTCATACAACCAGGATATTGGCATTGAACAATCAATGTTCTTGAACTCTCCCATTTTACTTGGTATGTGCTTGCTCTACAAAATTGTATCATGTACGGGGATGGAACCATGGCTCAGTGGTTAAGAGCACTTCCTGCTCTTCCAGAGGATCTGATTCCCATTCTCGGCACGCACTTCAGCAGCTCACAACCCTCTATAACTCTAGCTCCAGAAGATCTGACACTTTCTGCCCTTTGCAGGCACCCACAACATGTTATACATGCACACACACATGCGTGTGCACGCATGCACACACAAGACTAAAAACAAAATTATAGAAATTTTTGTTTTTTGAGACAGGGTCTCCGTGTACCCACAGCTGGCCCTAATCTCACAGAGATTCCCTGCCTCTGCCTCCTGAGTGCTGGGATTAAAGGTGTGTGCCACCATGCCCAGCTTAAAGTTTTTTAAATCACATATGTAGGGATTGTATATACACCATATGCAAGACACTGAACATTTCTGTCACCACAAGCATCTGTCCTTTTGCAATTTTCACACTTACTTCCCTTGCACCAGAACCCTCTTAGAACCTCTAGTCTGTTCTCTATTTCTTTGTGTGTGTGTGTGTGTGTGTATGTGTGTATGTCTATATTGTGTATGGTGTATGCGTGTGCATGTGTGTGCAGGAATGTGGAGGCCAGGTGAAGACACTGGGTGTTTTCCTCTACTGCTTTCTGCCTTGTTCTCTCAAGACAAGGTCTGTCACTGAACCTGAAGCTGGACATTTTGGGTAGTCTGGCTAGTCATATATCTCCAGGGATCTTCCTGTCTCTTATTTTTCCATAGGTACTGGGGATTTGAACTCGGGTCCCCATGCTTGCACAGCAAGTGCTCTTACCCACTGAGTTATCTCTCGCCCTCTATTTCTAAAGGCTTATCACTCTAAAAACGTTACTGAAATCATACTTACATACAGGTTGCTATAACTTAATGATGTGAGCTGGGTAGCTTAAACAACAGAAGTGTATTTTCTATAGCTCTGAAAGTTGAAAAACATATCAGGGTGCTAGCAGGGACAGTTTCTGGTGTGTGCTTTCCTGTTTAGCTTCTTCCTACATCCTCATGTGGAGAGAACAAACCGACTTCTGTCTCTTATGAGGGCACTAATACCATAGTGAGGGTCTCAGTCTCATGACCTCATCATCTCCCAAGGCCCGGTCTCCAAATACCATCACAGTAGGGATTAGGCTTTCATCCTCTACTCCCTCCCTTGCTTTTTGTTTCATCCTTCATTGTTTTTGCTTTTTTGAGGCAGGGTCTTACATATCACTTAAGCTAACCTCAAACTCTTTTCTTTTAAATTACATTTGTGGGGCTGGAGAGATGGCTCAGCGGTTAAGAACACTGGTTGTTCTTGCAGAAGACCTGGGTTCAAATCCCAGCACCCACATGGCAGCTAACAACTGTCCATAACTCCAGTCCCAGGGGAGCCAACAGGCTCTTCTGACCTCTGCGGGCATTGCACAACATGGGTGCACTTACCTACATGCAGGCAATACACACATACACATAAAATTTTTAAAAAGTTAAATTAAGCTGGGTGTGGTGGCGCACGCCTTTAACCCCAGCACTTGGGAGGCAGAGGCAGGAGGATCTCTGTGAGTTCGAGGCCAGCCTGGTCTACATGGTGAATTCCAGGACATCTGGGGCTACAGGGAGATCCTGTCTTAGAAAGACCAAAAAAAAAAAAAAAAAAAAAAGTTAAATTAAAAACAACTACATTCGTGTGTGTGTGTGTGGGGGGGTGTGGTGTGTGTGGTGTGACACAGTGTGCATGTGGAGATCACAGGACAAATTTCAAGAGTTAGTTTTCTCCTCCCACCATGTGGAGCTCTGGGATTGAACTCAGGTCTTTAGGTTTGGTGGCAATGCCTTTATCTTCTAAGCCATCTCAACCACCCTGGCCTTGATCCTTCTGTGTCTGTCTCCTGAGTGCTGGGGATTACACCTGTGTGTCACCATATCCAGTTTAATCTATAACATTTTATATTAGTCACTTTTCTGTTGCTGTGAAAGAAATACTAACCCAAGCAATTTATAGAAGGAAGAGTTTATTTGAGCTTACGGTTCCAGGGGAATTACAGTCTGTCCTGGCACGGAGGCATGGTGGCTGGAGGTGGCTGGAGCAGGAGCAGCAGAAGCTAAGCTCTCACATCATCACACAGGCACAGGAAGCAAGAGAAGCAAGTGGAGATCGGCAAAGCTTAAGAACTCTCTAAGCCCACCCCCAGTGACGAGCTTCCTCCAGGACAGCCACACTTTCTAAAACCTCCCAAAACAGCGCCACCATGTGGGGACAAAATGTCCAAACACTTGGAGCCTATGGTGGACATTTTCATTCAAACCATCACATTTTTTTTAAGTTTTTTAAAATTTATTTTTGTTTTATGAGTGTTTTGCTTGAATGTATGTAAGTGCACCATGTACATGCAATGCCCAAGAAGGTCAGAAGAGGGTGTCAGATTCCCTAGAACTGGAGTTATGGGTGGGTGATTGCCACTATATGGGTGCTGAGAACCCAACCCAGGTCCTCTGCAAGAATACCTAATGCTCTTAATTGCCAAGCCATCTCTTCAGCCCTTCTGTAACTTTTTAAGATAATAATTAATTTTTATTACATTTATTTTTGTGTGTATGTATGTGGTTGATTGTGTGCCACAGTGTGCACGGGGAGGTCAGAGGATAATTTGTGGGAGTCAGTTCTCTCTGCCCATTACGTGGGTATTGAACTTAGGTCTTCTGGCTTGGTGGTAAGTGCCCTGACCCAATGACTGTAACTTTTTTTTTTTGGAGATAGGATCTCACTATGTAGCCGTGGTTGGCTGTGGTGATCAGGCTGACCTTGAACTTATGCCTATTCTCCTGCTTCTGCCTTCCAAGTGCTGAGATACAGACATGTGTCACTAAGTCCAGCTAGGAACTTTTCTTTTTTAAATTTTTTTAAAATTTACTTTTTTTTAATGTGTATGAGTATTATGCCCATATGTATGTAAGTGCACCTGTGTTGTGCAATGCCCACAAAGGTCAGAAGTGAGCGTTGGATTCCCCTGGAACTGGAGTTACAGATGGTTGTTAGCTGCCATGTGGGTGCTGGGATTCAAACCCCAGTCATCTGCAAGAATAGCCAGTGCTCTTAACCACTGAGCCATCTCTCCAGCCCCTTTTCTTTCTTTTTAAAAATATTTATTATTACTTAACTTTATGTGTATGCGTGTATTGTCTACATGTAGGTAAGTGCACCCATGTCGTGCAATGCCCATGGAGGTCAGAAGACGCTGTCGGATCCCCTGGGACTGGAGTTATGGACAGTTGTTAGCTGCCATGTGGGTGCTAGGATTTGAACCCAGGTCTTCTTTATGTGTATGAGTGTATTGCCTGCATGTATCTGAGTGCATCCATGTTGTGCAATGCTGTAGAGGTCAAAAGAGGGCTTTGGATTCCCCTGGAACTGGAGTTAAGGATGGTTTGTAGCTGCCATGTGGGAGCTGGGAATTGAACCCAGGTCCTCAACAGTCAGTGCTCTTAAGCACTGAGCCATCTCTCCAGCCCCATTTAAAAAAAATTTTTTTAATAACTACATGATTAAAGCATTTAAAAAATTATCTATTATTTTTATGTGTATGAGCATATTGTCTGCATGTATGTAAGTGCACTGGTATCATGCAGTACCCCTGGAGGTCAGAAGAGGGCATTGGATTCCTCTAGAACTGAAGTTATGAATGGTTGTTAGCTGCCATGTGAGTGCTGTGAATAAAACCTGGGTCTTCTGCAAGAGCAGCCAGTGCTCTTAACTGCTGAGCCATCTCTCTCCCACCTCTGGAACTTTTTTTTTTTGTCTTTCTGAGACAGGGTCTCCCTGTATTCCCAACTGTAAACCAGGCTGGCCTTGAACTCCCAGAAATCAGCCTGTCTCTGCCTCCCAAGTGCTGGGATTAAAGGCGTGTGCTACCAAGCCCCACTAGGAACTTTTTTCTTTCTTTTTTTTTTTTTTTTTTTCGGTCTTTTTGAGACAGGGTCTCCCTGTAGCCCCAGCT